TTTCTAATTCTCTATGAGGCCCTTTGATTGCTTTCAATATCTTGATTTGGTCCTCTGGAAGAAAAAAAAGTTGCCCACCCCTGCATTAGGGGGTGCTGCAGCACCCTCCACACCCGCACATCCCACAGCCTTCTTAGCATTTTAGTGATTTACTTTGTCTTTTTCTAGCAGTTTGCAGTTCCAGAACCAAACTGAGCAAAAACCCTTACAAAAAAGTATACCTCCATTTTTCTATTTTAAGCTAACAAAAATACTACAAGTGCCAGTTTACAGAGTGTCTGATATTCCAACACAGTATTATGAAGATAAGTTTTATCGTGACTGAACATGCATGCTACAAATAATCCACATAGGAAATGGAGGGAAAAAAAACCTGGAAATGTTTTCCTAAATGTTTGTCTGCAAGAATATTTTTTGCACTTCCAACATCAGGCCCTTTGATTGCATTCAACGTGGCTCTCTGGAAACCAGATGTTGCATGATGCATGCAGACTAGAACATGAAGCCAGTTATTTCCAATAGTAGCACCGTGCAGGTACATGACCTGCAGATCATTCAAGTCTTATGTCAAAAGTCATCCAGTGCTAAAACTTTGATAAACACGCACCACTGTATAAACATTCAAATAATAATTATATACATCTCAATGTCAGGAAAAGCCCAAAACTCCACAGAAATCTATCATTTAAATATAGAAGTATTCAGTAATATAGGAATCATCTTCACTTTAAGCTACTGATCGTTTTCAAATCCTCTTCTCTCAGTGCCTTCTGCCAGCATGACCCGCCTGGCCCGCTCCCGCACCGCCTCCGGCTCCAGCGTCACCTCCGACGGCAACCGCTCGCGCTCCCACACCACCGAGGGGAACCGCTCGCGCTCGCACACCAACGAGGGCAGCCGCAGCCGCAGCCACACGGACGGAGCGGCCAACAACATGGACCAGTCCGTGCCCAAGTCCACCGAAGTCTCCTGCTAAGCTGCCACTGCAGACGCACAAACCTCTCCAAGGTCCTCCAGTTTGCGCTGCGCTGCCTCCTAACTGTGCACAAGTACTTCCAGACTCACCTGATGCAGTTGCAAAATGTTAAGACGCACAAAGGACTCTCGTCTGTAGACGTTTTATTGCAGCTGAGAGACCCAAATTTGAACGTTTATAAATTAAATAGGAGGTTGAGGTCGTTCAGGGACTCGAACATAAAACGTCTGGACTGTCGGGTATGAGTGCAGTTAGAGGCAGCGCAGCGTTTAGGAACATCAGAGAAAGCTGTGGCTTAAAAAAATCCATTTCAGCATTCCTTCATTTTTGTTTTTATCCACTTTTACCACAATCACAGTTTTCTCAAACATTAACTGATCAGTTACTCACATCTTTCTCAAGACTGAAACTTATTTTTGTGTGCGTAGCAGCAGATTAGTAGATGTGGGCGGAGAATGTGGAGGCGTTTGAATGATTATGGGAGGGCTGTCGTCTCATTTTATGGGTAACTTTATAAATTAAGGGAAAAAGTTCAAGAATGTCCTGTAAATATGCTAATTCTTGCCGGTCTGCGTTATCTTTGGGGTGTTGGGATTATTTTATTTTTTTTTTCCTCCAGAAGATTCTGGTTTAATTTTTACTTTACATGCGACCTACGACCTAAACTGTGTTTGGAACAAGAATTTTTTTATTTAGAACATGCGACTGAGAATTTGCTGTGTAACGAATCAAAATACAAAATCAGACAAACTTTTCCATCACGTTTTATTGCTTCATTTTTTTCTTCCTCTCTCCTATTTGTAGATGATTTCTATGCATTCAAGAACAAAAACAAAAGTGCCATGGCATTGTTCACTCGAGCTGTGATGCTCCTTCGTGTTTGTGGATTTGTGGCTGAGTAAAAAGGATAAAAAAAAAAAGGTCCAAACATTATTACGAGGATAGTCATAGAGCCTAACCTGTATTTTACTTGTACTACAGCAACATTTTACTTTACAAACACATAAACACAGCTTTGTAAAGATGCACAAACCATCTATTGCTGTAGAGAAGCATTAAAATCATAACGGTTTGTATTTATTAAAAAATGACAATAAAAACTTGTAACACATTTTGTGTCCTAGTTGTATATTTTTTGACAAAGTCATCTTATGGGGTTGTGTTTTGACTTGCTTATAAATCATAAAAAAGTGCAAAAATAAAAGCCCGCCGCCGTTTGAATCAAAGTTTTAAACCAGGGCTTTCAACTAAATTGCTCCGGGGGCCACAGTTACTGAAAGCCAAGAGCTCAGGGGTCAGACATCCAGCAGTTATTGCCATTAAATAGGTTTGTTTTAAGGTTTAAAATCTAGTTTTATTTAAAAATGAACCCATCGTTGGGCCGAACTGAGTTCACCTGTGGGCCAGATTTGGCCCCTGGACCGCCAGTTGAACAACCCCGTTTTAAACTATCGTCTAATGTTAAGCTGTTTTCGTTAAACCATGTAAACCGCATAATACACCATTGCGTGCAATATTGCAAGCGCTCACGTGATCTGTTAAACTATGTGTTGGGGATGACTCTCAGCTACTACCATACCAAATTTTAGTTTATAAGCTGTAAAACTGGCCGAGCTGCAGCCATTATCGTGTTTGGATTAACTCCAAAAGATAAGTTGCTACTGCTACTCTTTGAGAGTCAGTCCACTTGTTCATAAGATATTTTGCTAACAGACAGAGCTTAAGAGGTGGGGAATAAATATCTACAAGCTTTATCTACAGGGGTGAATTTTAACAAGATTATTAAATGCATGTGCGCAAAAGCTACATTAATAAATTAAGTATTTTACAAGCTTTTTATATTTTTCTCTTCAAATATTCTTCAAAAGCAGCTCGAGTTGCACGCAGTCGTTCCAAAAACCCCCATTTACAAAATATTCCAGCTGAAATAAAAACGTGCTCAGTCTACGACTTCTGGGTAACCATAGTAACCGTCCAGCTCTGCAAAGATGTCGTTTGGGTTTTTGCAGCTGAGGTTGCAGAAGCACGCCTGGATCCACATCATCTTCCAGGTGAAGCCCGTCTGGTTGGGACACTGGAACTCCACGTCGATGGTCTTGGACTTGTATGGGATGCAGCAGCGCTCGTCGGTGCAGACCCCGCAGTATTTGGGCCTGTACGGTTTCTTGCTGATGCAGCCGGAGATGGTGAAATTTGAAGGCTGATCTTCCCTGTAGATGTTCAAGCACTTCTTTCCTGGCTGAAGACAGAAAAAACTTGAAACTCTGGATAGGTTGCAGTTATTTTTGGAGCCGAAGGTGCAGATTTATTACCTTGAAATGTTTGGTGATGTCAACGTCGCACGGCCGCAGGTTGCACAGACGGGACTCTTTGACCATCTCGCACTGATCGTTGGCGTTCGAGATCCTCAAGGACAGTCCGCGGCCGCAGGTCTTAGAGCAGGGACTCCAGGAAGTAGTCTGAGGGACGCAGTTGTCGTGCAAGCTCCTGGACTGAGCTGGGACAGCTGGATCGACACCGAGAAGTAAAAGCAGATAAGTCGTGTGGGAAAATGACTGCTATATTTATTTCATTTAACAGTTATTTATAGAGGTCGTCTCATTGAGTCATGGGGACTCATTTACAAGAGTGACCTTGAAAATGAGTCATATTTTCTGTTCTATATTCAGCATCGAGCCCTAAAGGTTCTACCTGAACGCTGCTAAAGAAGAAATATGTACCACAGAGATACATAAAGTTATCAGTTATTTTAAAAATGCTGAGACGTTTCGTCCTTCATCCAAAGGACTTCTTCAATCTGAGGAGCCACCAACAAACTGAGTCCCACAAACAGCACACACCCATAGTGGAATCCTGTTTGTGTGACTCAGTTTGTTGGTGGCTCATCAGACTGAAGAAGTCCTTTGGATGAAGGATGAAACGTCTCTGCGAATAAAAAAAAAGTCCAGATGACCTGACTGAAAATTGTTGGATTTTTACTTGAATTATTGAGCATGAACTTTGGTGTTTTTTTTAATTTATTTTATTTTTTATATTTATCCATAAATAGAAATGTGTTTTAAGAAGAACATTCTTCTGGGCTTTGGTGAAACTCAACAAAATTGAACTCTTTCTCTCCAAACTGACATCATTCAGCAAGCTATGTACAACAGGGAAGATATTAATTGTTCATAACCTTTCCACAAAACCTGATTACCTGATTGAGCTCAGGCCACTTTAACAGACGGATGAACCGTCTGAACCGTCTGGGTTTTCCATTATATATTCCCACATTTCTTGTATTTGCATTCGTTGCAAAACAAAACAAAAAAGAAGAAAATAATAATAATGTTGCGTCCCCTCGTGCTGCCATCTGTTTTAAATCTAAATACCTAAAACGTGTCCATCCAGCAGTCTGGGTCTAATTTGTCTTTTTATGCAACACACCAAGATCATTTACTTTCTTGCCTCAGTGGCTTTGGCACTCTAAACGACTGGAAACTGGAAGTGAACCAAAAATAGTGTGAGGGCTTCCACAGGAAAGGCTTGGACAGACACACACACACACACTCACACACACACACACCTCATGATCATTGTGAGAGCAAACCCAAACACAGCTGCTTCTGTTTGACTTCTTGAATCCAATCCTTTCTGGTAGAAAACTAAAGATAAATTAGCACCTATTTTATGACTGGAACATTATACCTGTATCAAAACCCTTGAATTATTATTATTTTTTTAATTTACAGGCTTATTCTGTTGGATTACCTAGTTGTAGTTATTTCCTCACTTTTCAAGCAGCCTTTTGATACCACATAAACTGGCAATGGCTCAAAATTAAACCAACATTTTAAATAAACCTGATACAGAAAAAGTTGTATAGAATCTAAACACAGTAATAACAAAATACAATAATTTGGAAGTCTTATAAACCCACATTTTAGTCATAATGGGCCATAGTAAACATACTGAATGTTAAAATAAAAAAAAAAATGGGGGTTTGAATTTGAAAGAAGCAACACAACTAAAAAAAGAAGGACAATAAACGGTTGTAAAAGCAAGTGGTTTGAATAAGAAACATCTGGAGAAGCATTTTGCAGCTTATTACATTAATTAGCAACTGGACTGGGAATATAAAAAAAGAGCATTTTAGAGAAGCTAAATCTCTCAAGAGGTAAAGATGGGGAGAGGTTCACCAGTCTGTAAAAGAGTAACTTCAGAATAATGTCCCTCAACAAAAAAAAAAAAAAAAAAAAAAGAAAGATTTCACTTTTCATCATCTGCAGTTTGTATACATTTTCAAAAGATTTCAATAAGCTGGGAGAAATGTGCAAGGAACAAGGCTGTCAATGTCAACGCTGATTGGTTTTCAGGCCCTCAAGTAGCACTGCATGAAAAGACAGGGTCTGATTCTGTCCTGGACACCCCTGCCTGGGCCCAGGAACACTTCCACACATTGTCTGCAAACACAGTTTGCACAAACTTTTATCATGCAAACAAGAAACCTTAAATAAACACAATCTAATGTTTTATTGGGACAAAGTTTATTAAAAAAAAGTGTTAAAGTTCAAAACTGTTGTGTGGTCATACAAAATGAAATGTACAATTCTTGGAAATCATAATTATAAAGAGGTGAGGGTCTATCAAGCTTGTTATCAGTGCACAGATCAAAAGCTAGCTTCTCTGACGGTATGGGTGTGCATTAGTGGCACTGGCATGGGCAACTTACACATTTGTAAAGGCGCAATCGATTCAGAAACGTTCATATTGGTTTATATTGGTTGGAACAGACAGTTGCATCCTTTCCAACAGCGTGGCTTCCTAACTGACCTGAAAACATTTGGCACATTATGAAATGACAAATCCAGCAAAGACTGTTGAACAGCTAGAACCCTACATCAGACTGGGCCAACGGTCTCCTTCATAAACTCCAGAAACTGGTCTCCAGTTCCTAGCTGTGTACAAACTGTTGCTAAAAGAGAAGGTGGTGATCTGATTTAATGATTATGAGAACAGTGCTCTATTGTGAATAAAATATGAGTTTGTGAGATTTTCAAACTTCAGTACTGCATTTTATTAACATTTTCAATTTGGCACAGAATTTTTTTCAATTTGTTGTCAAAGTTAGCGTATATTCAAAGTGACCTACCCTCCACTGCGTGTCTCGGTGCTGTTCTTCTCTTGGGCTCATCACAGATCCACTGCTCGCAGCACTGCCCCCGCACTTTGACTTGACGTGGATTTTGGCACCACACCCGGGGAGGCTGGAACTCTGCGCACAGCCCCACGCAGCCGATAGCGCCGTTCACGCACACGCACTGGTATTTGCAGCTGGGCTGGAAGCTCTGACCGTTACGGTAGATGACGCCGTCATGCTCGCAGCCCGTTCCCACCATATCTGTTGGAGAGGAGACGCATTTTACAGTGACATGCACTTCTGGAGGACTTTCATGCAACAATGCAAGCACATGTCTATGATATAGAGCAGGGTTATTCAACTAAACTGCTCAGGGGGCCACAGTTACTGAAAGCCAAGCGCTCAGGGGTCAGACATCCAGCAGTTATTGTCATTAAAATAGTTTTAAAATCTAGTTTTATTTAAAAATGAGTCCATGAGTTCACCCATGGGCCTGATTTAGCCCCCAGGCCAGCAGTTGAATAGCCCTCGGCTAACCTCGCTGACATACAGCTATCAGACGCAACATTCTGACCTGTGTAATGTTCTGCAGGAGTCGCCAATTGTTTTACCGGATGCCCTTCCTGACGCAACCTGGGCTCGAACCTGCAGCCTCAGGGTTACAAGGCCATGACACTGACCAACCCCCACAGCAAGTCTTTTCCACAAAAATGTCAGATTTTGTGTCCGATATGTGGTGTAATCCAAATAGAAGCATCTGTCATTAGCCTGCAACACCATCACAAACAGTGTCCCCGAGATCACAACCTGTTTTTGTTGATGTAAATAATTTAGAACTGGGTTCACGCTTCAGTGTCTGTAATTTGAGCCTGGTAGTTGCTGAATTATGACAAGACTGGTCGGAGGGTAAATGTTTCTTCTTTTGGGCTATGCTGCAACACATTATAGTACAGTGGTTTGAAATGACTTGTTAGTTCTTACAGTCTTCAAAGATGCAGTGCTACTCAGGAAACCATCAGCACAAACCCAACAAGACCAAAAAATAAATAAAATAAAATCCATCACTTTACAGCTGCTGTCCTAAGTTGTCTGAACATAAATGTAACCCTACCTAAATTATGGATACCACAAACTGTCTTTGTGTATGAGAATAAATGTTGAAGGTCTAACTTTAGTTTCCAGTATGAAACTAATCATGAGCACATAAAAATATGACTTGTAGCATCATTTCTCTTTCTGATCCTTTATGATATGCAATAAATAAATTAAATAGAGAAGATGCAACAGAAATGATCACACAAATACTATCACGCAGCCATAAACTTGCAACAAAAATGTGACAGATTTTTTGTTGCTGTGCAAGAGGGACCTCTGAAGATTTTTAGAGGTCAATGATGGTTTTTAGGAAACTTTGCTTCTGGTTTGAAATATATCATTCATATAAATGAAAATTTACTAGAATATGACCAAACAAACTGCTTGACTGTAATTTAACGCTTTAGCAGTGTGGCCTCATGCAGACTGCATTATGTTCCTACCTGAGCTACAGTTTATCAAAGGATGGCTATGAATGCAGGTCCAGGGGTAAAATTATCAGTACCACTTTACAATAAGGCTCCCCTTATTGATGGCTAACAAACAGTTTATAGATACATTATCAATTCCTCTGTAAACACTTTATAAATCATTGCTTAATATACATTAATTAAGGGTGACAGAGAGACAAATAGTGAGTCAAATCTGCTCACCTACATATTTCATCTACAGTTGTTATATTACCTTGTAAGCACAATAAGCATTTGTAAGCCTATTTTTTTAGGATATAATATTAGTTGTAGATACTTAGAATGCAGAGATAAAGTACGATATTATACGCTAAAGAAATAGGTTTACAAATGCTTATTGTGCTTGTAACTTAGTCTGAAATGTTTAATGTAACAACTCTAGATGAAATATATAGGTGAACAGATTGGACTCACTATTTGGCAAGAAACTGGTCAGTTTTGTCTCTCTGTCACCCTTAATTAATGCATAATAAGCAGTTATTAATGACTTATGAAGTGATTATAGAGGAATTAATAACGTATCTATAAACAATTTATTATCATCTATAAGGGGAGCCTTATTATAAAGTGGTACCATAATCACAATAGTAATAACACCACGCTGTAGTAATCATGTCTAAACGTTTGATTCTCTTCTGTTCAGATGGACAAAAATGCAACGTCCCAAACAAACAAACAAACAAACAAAACAAAACAAAAACAAGATTATCCTGTGTGTAAAAGTCTGATGTTTGTTTCAGTGACACTTACATGCACACACTCCTTTTTCGTACCTAGGCTTGTCCGAACTGTAGTCGCAGTACAGTCCCTTGTGGTAGTCGCACGTGTCTGCCTCGTTGCACTCCTCGCCCACCTGCCGGGCACAAGCCTTGCAGCAGTCGCAGCCGTCCATGAGGAGGCTGACGCCCAGCGGGCACTTGGGGGGCACCTCCGGACACTCGCAGGGCCACTTGCAGAAGCGTGTGCGGCTGTACGGCTCTGCGGTTGGCGAGGAGACGGCTGCGGCAGGCGGCATGGCAGTGGAATTCAGGGAGGAGGCCTGGAGTGAGAAGGAATATACTTATAGTTTAACCACAATGTGCAATTTCTGAACACTTTGACAATTTGGCCTGATGGGTGCAGTTTATCTGCAAACCAAATGTGACACCAGCTTGTTTCAGTAGCTTCTGATTTACTGTTTGACTTCAATCTCATAAAAGGATATTTGACTTGTTGTAATAAGCAATTATCTTTAATCCTGATAATGCCACGGCCTGTAATTGATCTGAGAAGTTTCAAATCCCTAAGTGGTTGAGTCACTGCCAACACGATCACTAATATTGGGTCACGCTGTGCAACAAATTAAAAAAAGGCTATAAAAGGGAATTAACCACCCAGCGGCGATAATCCTATTAAATTAATGTCTGGGTGTAGTTTTGCATGTATGCAACAGGAATAAAACAGGCTGAACAGTTGCAAAACCCTGCTGATGAATCTTAATTCCAGTTTCTTTTCTCCCGGGCTGCAGAGCGTTGGCAGAACCAGACTCCACAGAGGTTTGCAGCCCCTAAAACCAGATGTTTGCTCTGGAACGGGTCACTTGAGATGCATTAACAGCCCAGGTCTCAGTGGTTTGTTTTGGATTTTTGTCTTTTTTTTACTTAAAATGCATTTGGAAACAACGAACTGAGCAACTAACAGTCAAAGATGTTGCTTTGAGAACAAAAACACCATAAACTGGTCTTTTGGTTATACCATTTGGTGAATGAGACAAGAGAGTTCCTTATTTGTTTACAATTTAGATGCCAATGCTTTTAGATAAAACTTTAATTGAACATTTGTTATAAATGGAATAAAGGTCAGTTTTGCAGTTCCAACATCATGAATGGAGAATATAATTTTTTTTAAAAAAGGAGCTGTAGAGCGTGACAAAGTTCAGACGTGAAGTGGCACGTTTGATTTTTGGGTCCAGTGTTCCTTGTAAAGTCATAAATCACAGCTTGACCCTCAGGTCAGAGCAACAACTCACTCAGATACTGAGCTTTTCATCAATAAAAGACAAACATGCGCGATCCAGAACTAATTGTGAGAAAACATATTCAGTCATCTCTGAGCGCGGCAAGGCTTCAGTCAATTTTCAAAGCTCGTTCTCAGCCCTGCAGTGGAACTATTAATGACCGCTCTGAATCATGTTGAAAGCCAACGCTGATGAATTAGTTTTAATCACAGCAGTGCCACTAGGCCGAGCCTCAGAAGAGTTAATTTAGCTTGAAGCCATTCGGCTCATTTACAGAGGAGCGAGTGAGCTCAGCGTGAAACAAAGAGAGCAGATCATAGGGAGGTGGGTGACTCACAAGTTAAAATTAAAACCTTTGGAATGGTTTAATTAGGTCATCCGTCCTCAATTTTAATCATTTTCAATTTGGTGATTAAGTTTAGCATAATCGTAAATGAGAAATGAACAATCCCCGACATGAAAAGGTAGAGCAGATAAGAACAAAACCAACCAAAGAATCACGATTTAAAAAGAATATTTACAAAAAAATTAATAAAGCATAAATATATAAGATTTACAGATGTAAATTTGGATATTTGTAACAAAGACCATTAATGACATTTTTTTTTCTTCCCATTTGGTCAAAAGAGTAATCTTAATCTTTTTTTGTCACAATCAACTGAATTCATTGGAAAGTGTGAAGCATGATTCAAAGCATTGAATCAATGCATCCTTCAAAACTGAGGCACAGGTGCGTTTCTCCTAATAACCACCAGGTGGCAGTAAAGTCAGACAAACAGATCAGGTGGAACCTGCACTCAGTTTCAACTGTCCCGTGATGAAGACAATATTTAAAAGAAAGGTCGCTCCAGAGTTATTAGAGTTATTAAGTGAATGGATATGAGGAAGAAGCAACAAAAATAAATATAAAAAAGTTTTCTAAAGCGCCAGGCCATGTAGCCTTAAAAAGTATGGGTATAATTATACAATAATTTAACAACTGTAATAGAATACGTTTGCAAAAAGAATAACCATTCGTCATGTATCTTTCAGCCCACCTGTTGAATCCCAGCTGCTGTCAGAATCCACAGCAGGAACCAACTCATCCCTCGTGACGAGCTGCACGTGCGTTAAATCCGGACCTGGTTTCCTCTCCGTTACGTCGCGCGACCCGCCGCTCTCCGCAGGTGTGCTACATCCTCGTCCCCTCAGCGGGTTATGCTGCTGACAGCCTGCCTGCTGCTCGTGAAGTCTGAGCTCAGCATTCCTCAGAAACTTTCCTCCTCTCTGACCCGAACCTCCTCCTCCTCCTCCTCCTCCTTCTCCTCCTTCTCCTCCTTCTCCTCACAGCGCGTGCTCTCCCGGTGGTTTTGGGCCAGGGCGTGTCTGGAAGTTTAGCGTCTTTCTGGACGTGTTCTGGATCTTCATGTAGGATTAAAGGGTAGGTCCAGTCCTCGTATACAGGAACCCACATGGAACCACACAGCTGCCTCTTCTCCACACTGGTTGGAGTTTGCCATGGTTGGTTTGTGTATAAGATAAATTCCATCTTGCATTTTGCTCACATCACTTGAGAAAGGAGAAGTGCAATGAAGTTACCATATGGTTGATGTTTGATTAGATGTTCCACGCGGTTATTCTGGCAGATATATTAAAATAGTCCTGCTGGAGGTTGGTATAAGGTGGAAATACTTCCTCTGGGTTGGGGATGAGTCTTTGCCTCAGGCAGATGAGTGATGGTAGGATGGACTCATGGATCGGGCCTCTGCACCGGCTTGTCTTAGTGAAGAAGGAGCTAAAGGCAAAGCTGGTTTATAGCTCTCACCTTTTGGGGTGCATGGGCTCAGGTGGCTGCCAGTTGGAAAGTTGTTTCGATCCTGGCTTCACCCACCAGTGATCTGCTCCGTGGTGCGTGAAGGCAACTTGTAGTGTTTAAGCACTTTGACCTAAACGAGAAAAACAGGATAGAAACACAATCTGTTTACCCTGTACCCTTAGTTGTGAGGTGTCCAGTAGATTACAATTTAGGAGTCTGAGATCCTGAATGAGCTTCCACTGGAGGGGAGAAGATGATAGGACGGGGGAATTCTGAGTAGAGCCACGGTTTCTCTGCAACAAAGTGAGTCTACTGAGGTGGTTTGGGCATCTGACTAGAATGGGTGCCTCCCTCTGAAGGTTTTCAGGTCAGGAGGACAACTCAGATCTCTTTGGAGAGTTTATATCATCCCTGTTCTGGGAGAATGGGATCCTTGACATGTTTATAATTGACTAAATGTTCCTGCCTTTTCTTGTTGTTGGACATCGAAACATGGTATGTAACTTATATGACGTATGAAATACCTACAGCTAAACGTATTAGGACAATAAAAATTTGAACATACAGCCTCAAGGTAAGAACTGCATGAATTAATAGGAATCGGAACCCTAAAGAAATATCTAAGTAGTGTTTCCCCTACCATTATACAAGCAGGGTGCCTTGCCTTGTCAACAGAACCGAGTGCCCTGCCTACCGAACCGAAAAACCCCCTGTCAACAACTGCATTGACCTAGCGCTAAGCTATCGGCATGCAATATAGACATGCTTGCTAAAAAGGTCAGTTTCTCTCACACTTAGCCAGCCCCGCCGCTCGAAAAATGTTGGTACAAACAGTACGCAACACATACGTGTATCCGTCAACCCCCCAACCCCCCCTGGAGAAATGAGCAGCCTGCCAAGGCAAATAATAGGGGAAATACTACTAAGGTCATTTTTTTTTTTGTACTGGGAACATTTTATTAGACTGTTCCTCTTTTTGCTACACCTTCCTGTATGGTGTCCAGGTTTAATATATGTCCCCCTAGAGGACCTGGAGAGTGTTGCTGGGGAGAGGGATATCTTGGGTTTTCCCCTGGACCTGCTGCTTCTGTGACCCAACCACAAATTCAACAGATGGTTGGATGGATTGATGGACTGATTGATTGGAGGATGGATGCACCAGAAAATGCCACAGCTACTGTTCTCACCACTGTTTGCGCCTGAACGTTTCAAAGGAACTGTACGACAGTAATCATAACGCAGCATGGGGCTGTGGTAGCTTGGGGGTCTGTGTTGAAGTCTCACAATCCTGAGTCTCCAGTTTTGAGACCAGTATAGACGGTAAAACGATTGCCAAATCTTTCATACGGAGTTCACTCGCTGGTGACCCCTCAAGAAGGGAACGGCCAACAACAGAGTTTATGTGATGTAAAATAATGGTGTATGGTATAACGTTTGGAGTTGTTTCAAGACCACAGCTTGGATTAGCCGTTAGCTTTCTATGTCTCCAAACTATGCTAGTAAAGTGCTGTGTATAAAGTGCTATTCATATATAAATTATCACAAACTTTTCATAAATTTTCACTTCAAAACAATCTGAACTGTGACTGATATTATCTGTTGTTGTAAAAATAAAAATGAATCCCCATACAGAGAGACAAAACAAAGAAAATTGTTGGGTAACCTTAATGTCAAACAGCCTGTTTGCAATGTTAACACTGACCCGTGATTCTTTCCAATCAAAGTCCCAAAGAGCTGCTGATGTGTCATGATGTGTCACTGAACTAAACATGTCACAAGTAGCCCACCTCTCTCCTGCGATATCTTTATTAGGGCCACATGGAACAGTGTCTGGCCCCCAGATGTTCACTTTAAAGCAATGGCGTCATCGCACTCAGCTGCTGAGCTTTCCTTCAATTTTCCTTCAAATCTGAATGCTTTCACTTGAGTTGATTTGGCGCGGGATGTTAAAAATTCCACTCGATGCTGCCGGTTAGCCATATGGGGCCCAAAATAAGCACATTGCTACTGGTCTGCTGATAAAAATATCACTCAAAGTAACTAAAATGTGTCTGAGAATTTGGCCCCTGGAGGGGACACGGAGAGAAAAGGAGTGATGGATGAGGAATGAGCACTTTGTAAAGGAGCGAGCTGCCCCGGGTCTGAACCCCGATTATTTACAGGCAGTTCTCTAATCCCTGTCAGAGAGCTGTCGGCTGCTGAGCTGATCTGAGCCGCAGTTCCGTCTCTGCTCTGACCGCTCTGACCCGACCCCTCCACGGCACAACGTGCACACTTTCACTTCTTCACACCCCCTTTGTCTCCCACTCTCACTTTTCCATTCTTACATTTTTGGCACGTTTTGTCGTTTCACCTCATCTTTCCTGCTGCACTCGTTTTACCCAAATCTGCCTTTGGTTCAGTTTATTAATGTATGTGTTAAGTGTTTCCCCAATAAAAGTAGGACACATTTAATGGGGTCTTGGGCTTTTTTTGTGGTGGAATATCTTTTTTTTTGGGGGGGGGGGGGGTTATTGGAGAGAACCACATGGAACTAAAATAATATGCTTTTATTCTATATGGTTTCCAAAGACACAAGACAGGCTGAATATGCAGGTCACAAACTTATTAAGCATTTATATAGTTTCTAACCGTTGAAATACATTTTTAATGCTTTTAAAATATGTTTTTCCTATAGTTTGTTCAGCACAGCACTATAAAAACCAAACCCTCACAGCCTCAGTGGTGATTATATAATAACAGTAATAACTGTAATGTTTTTATGCTATCAGTGCTTAGTGTATTTTAGTTGTTTTTCTTAGTTCGTATCTTAGATGTTATTATTGTTTTTCTTTTGCATTTTATTGTTGGATGTAATTGGGACCCTGTGTACATAATTTGTTTCACCACATGTACCACTTGTGGTGCGAATGACAATAAAGAATCTCAGACTCTGACTCTGATTATTGTTTCTTTTTAGGGATGCTCAAGCACCCCAATATTTTAACTCAGCACCCCTGAAAAATAAAGAGACCATCATTAGGATTTTATAAAGAAGCTTAGTTCTCAAATATTAGATTCACTGAAATATTTAATAAAATTGAAATAAATATTTAAACGGGTCAGTAAAGTCTATGATTTACACGAACCGACTCTTCAATGCCACCTGTCAATCAACCCAGTACGTAGACCTGTCGTAATAAACAATAAATCAATTAATCGCATGATAAATGAAAATTATGTACCTCATTTTCATTTATCGGCTTTATCGTTTCTTCATGTCTCTCTTTCTACTGGACACTGGATGACAAAAGGCTCAACTCCGGTGCTCTTCACTGACCCCTCCTTTTCTCTTTTCACTTTAAAATCTATTTTAACCGTACAAAATCGCGTTTTTGGATCGTTAAAAGCAGCTAAGCTGAGAAGCTAAACTACGAGCTAAGCTAACAGGCCGACCTCGGGGGGAAAAAAAACCTCTGTCTTGTCAAAGCTCCAAAATTCTCAGTTGAAACCCGTGCCTTGATCTAAAAAGTTGTTTTTCTCTGCAAAAAGAAGCTGAGAACTTGTTTACTGATTTTTTTTTTATTAAAAGCTTTGTGTGGAAAATGCTATGCTGAAGAGCTCAAACCACACCGAGCAGCCGCCATTTTGAGAACCGAAAAATGTAAAGAGAGACAGCCCATGTCACATCAAGGGGCCTCCCGCCCATTTTTTTAAGACACACGCTGCTCGCTCCCTCACTATCCATCATTCGGTTCAAACAGTCTTATACTGCCATCCAATGGTCAAAACAGGTACTGCACACAAAATTAACCAACGTTTCTGCTTAAATTTGACAATAACTGCTAATTATTGTCAAATTTCAAACAATCGTTTATTGCAATAATTTCTGAGACAATCATCCAGCAAAATTTGTCATCGTGACAGGCCTACCAGTACGCGCATCAGCAACTGACCAATGGATGACTTAAGGTAGACCCCGAAGGCAAACGCCCCTTACCTGCAAGCGCAACACCCCCTTTTCCTCAGACAACATTGTCGAGGTTTTGCATTACAAACGCTTTGCAGTCATAAGTTAATTGTTATATTAAAGATTAATGCTTAAAGCTAGTTTTGCGTGTTTTATATGTACCTAGATTTATGTTGCAGCTTCTGGTTGTATAAGTTTGTCTTTGTTTGCTATGATCCTTTAAAAGTTGTGACTGAGCTCCTCGTTTATGGCCATACCACCCTGAGCACACCCGATCTCACCTGATCTTGTATGATAAGCAGAGATCAGATGCTTATCATCCTGGTTAATACTTGAATGGGCGACCACTTGGGAATACCGGGTGCTTTTGTACTTCTCACAAACCATGCCG